TGTTTTTTAAAACTATTCGAATATATATTCGAATTTAGAATATTCGTTGACAGCCCTACTGTATTTTGTATCTGTAATAGCCTGGGAAAACCCAGACAACTTCCGGCAAATTTAGATTTACTCTGCAAGTTAGTCTGGCAAAGAGCTCATTCAAGCCCATTTCTAATCCGCCGAAATCGCGGCACCAATCAGAAACGTTGGGGCGGGCTTTACACGATGACGACAGCACAGCTATGGAACTAGGGGTGTGACAATAGTTTAACACCGTCATTAGAACTCTATTACCGGCAAAACCATGTTATTAAAACATTTTTTAGCATAGAGAATGTTTAAATACTAATATCAGCTTACGAGAGAAACGGAGGCGGAGTTAGTGGTGCTTCGGATGCTGCTACTGCTGGAGATGATTCAGGAGAGGTCTGTGCACCCCCTCCCAAGAAGAGAAATCTTGGAGATCTCCTTAATTAAACGGAGGTCAGAAATCTCTGCCCCTTTACCGATCAGAGCGCGCGCTCTGGGATAAACAAGGGTTAGTTCACCCAAAAATGAAAATTCTGTCAGTAATTACTCACCCTCATGTTGTTCCAACCCGGTAAGACCTTCGATCATCTTCGGAACACGAATTAAGATATTTTTGATGAAATCTGAGAGCTGGATCACTCCTCCATAGGCTTCTTCAGGGATTGAACTTGCCGGCCTCGAAAAGTTATTAAAGACATTGTTAAAATAGTCTGAGTGACGACAGTGGCTCAATCTTAAGTTTATCAAGCGACGAGAATACTTTTTGTGCGCAAAAACAAACAAAAATAACGACTTTATTTCAACTATTCATGTCCATCTCCTTGGGCCTCGAGTCAGTTCACTAGTGTAATAGCGTAAGCTTCTGTTGTTGTACGTCACACGCATCACGCACATGATCAGCGTCGGCCAATAGTGAGCCTACGTGTGACGTAGCTCTACGGAATCACACTACGTTAACTGACTAGAGGCCCAAAGAGAAGGAAATGAATAGTTGAAATAAAGTCGTTATTTTTGTTTGTTTTTGCGCACAAAAAGTATTCTCGTCGCTTGATAAACTTAAGATTGAGCCACTGTAGTCACTTGGACGATTTTAACGATGTCTTTAATAACTTTTCGAGGCCGGCAAGTTCAATCCCTGAAGAAGCCTATGGACTAGTATGGAGGAGTGAGACAGCTCTCAGATTTCATCAAAAATATCTTAATTCGTGTTCCGAAGATGAACGAAGGTCTTACGGGGTTGGAACAACATGAGGGTGAGTAAATACTGACAGAATTTTCATTTTTGGGTGAACTAACCCTTTAAGTAGACATCTGACTGTTGTACTTTTACTTGTACTTGAGTAAAATTTAGCAAGGGGTATCTGTACTTTTACTCAAGTAACGAAGCTGTGTACTCTGTCCGCCTCTGCAACTGAGAATGGTCTGGTTTTAACCAGGCTATATCTCTAACACAAATGTATCAACAATGAATAAATCCTTTAATTTATCCTCTGGTATCAGTAGGCTATACTTTCAACAGTCTCCTTTTATGAACTGTAGATTTCTTTAACACAACAATTCATGAAACAAACACTTGGAAAGGTAACTCCCATCTGATAAACCATTTAATTTTGCTATTATTAATCAGAAAATTAACAATATATAACACAAAAAGCAAGTTTAATATGAAACATCGTACACTCAACACGTGCATTTATCTTAATATTAACCATTATAAACAATATATTGAGTTGATACACTTGATTATTCAGAAAACAACAACACTGTCAGCAAACAGTTTCATCCACGCTTTCCTCGTGGTTAGCATATGTCGGACATGAAGATTAGCACAGTTAAAAACGTCGCCTTGTATATTAGTTGATTTTTCCGATAGGCTATACAAACACAAAAATAAAACCATCGCAAATATACGATCTAAACTCACAACAAATTATAATATATAATTAATTTCACTTTACATACCTGGAAAAAGAGACAAAACCCCAAGTGCTGTTCTCAATGCGTAGAGTTGTCTTGCACTCGCACAGTAGCACCTGTCTATGAGTAGCACAGGTGAGGTGAGTCACGTCATTTACTACCCGCCCGCAACCCAGGCCAGGTCTCCCCCTACTGGATACTCACAGAATGACACCTCAGACATATGGCCGACATAAAAATCAAACACTCTCCTATATCATAATGATTGACATTAATTGCATGAATCATGTTGATTTGATCTTATTTGAATCAAATTTTTATCTTTTTATGGAGATCATTTTTTAAATCACTGGTAGGTTAGCTACTTCCCCTCGTCCTGACATCTTGGGATTTTAGTTGAACTTTATGATGTTTTCCATTTGGACTGTTACTTTACTAAATCAATATTTTCTTAGCCTGTAATATGCCACAGTCTATCTCTGTTATCCATATGCGAGATAGAAAGAGCAAAGCAAAAATCACGGCTCAGGCTTCCTGTGCATGTAGGCTATACGTTATTTAAGGATTTCAACTACTAGGCTACTCAGTCTAGGCCCTGGCCTACCCTACATGAGCGTAGCCTCATCCCATTGTTTATACATATAGGTAGCCAACTAATGTGATGTTTATTAAATCTCATTTATTTATTTTTATTTTATGACTTTATTTTGAATGAAAATGACCGGTGCTATGTTTTTTTTTTAATCTCGTAATATCGTCAGCTAGGAATCCACCCAAATTATAAAAAGTATAGGTTTTTTTTTCTTATGAGGAAAAGAATAAAATATTTAATAGTATTTATTTTTAAGCTTTAAGGCAACATGAAAATCTTGGTTTTGGTTTCAATGTTTTTATGGTATTTTTTATTTATGGTAACACTTTACAAGAAGGTCCAATTAGTTAATAGTTAACTAATATTAACTAACAATGAGCAATTACAATATATTTGTAAATCTTTGTTAACGTTTGTTAATAAAAATACAATATTTCATTGTTAGTTCATGTTAACTCGGGTCAGAAATTAAAAGATAGGCAACTTTTGCTTTTAATAATGTATTAATAAACGTTAAAAGGAACATGAACTAAGATGATTAAATGCCTTTGAAGTGTTTTTCAATGTTAGTTCATGTTGATTAATGTAGTTAACTAATGTTGACAAAGGTAAAGCGTTACCATTTGTTATTTATTTGTTTGCAACAATTCAAAGATTAACCATTGAGGGATATTACTCAACTTATTTAAAATATATTTTAAAATAACAGGTATGTTCTTTTTTTTTTTTTTATATAAAAACAATTTGAATATTTTCACCCATGCACTCACATGCACAAAAGACGACAAACAATGGCAGTTGTAAGAAAAAGCTGGACTTTTATTTTGTAGGGACAAACTACTGTCAAATGACTTGAATGAAATGAATAGCTTTAAACTGTTAAGCGTGAAAATATATAATATAAAAGAACTGCTTGGTTTTGTCTTTAGTTTCACTGAAGCAGAAAATATATACAACAAAAAGGCAGAAGTAAGAAACACTTTGAAAACCATCAGAGATCAAAACATACATCAATCATGACTAATAAATACCAATCATTTCCATTTCATTGCGATGAGGTGATAGATCTTTACAAGGGAATGGTAAGCTGGACTCAAATGAATGAAGCCGTGCCCACATCCTAATCAGCTTTAAGAACAGCACGTGAAGGCAAAATAAAGCAAGTACATTTCTGATTGTGCATTTTTGCTCTAAAAGCATGTAGTACTGAGACAAATGAATGGGTCTTGCATGCAAATGCTCCTATCGGGTCAAATAATGACGTGCCGACAGTTTGAAGTCTAGATGGTCAGATATGTACATCGATTCATTTCCTCAAAGCTCATTCAGAAACATACAAACTTAAACGTCTTCACTGTGAAGTGGAAACAATATGGGCAACACAAATTTGCATAATGTGATAGTGCATAATATATGCAGGTTTTATCAACAAAACGTTTTTGAAACTACTCAATTTATACCCACAATTCGTGTTGTCGTTTGGGTTCAACCAACCCGTCCGAGTACAATCAAATGGAGCTTGGTAAATTAGTTTAGGTAGTTACATCGTAGTAAACTTTATGCCTGTCCAGAATACTTTTTTTTTTTTTTCCCAAGCATAGATTTAGCTCTATTTATATATTACAAATGTTTCAATATTTGAAGAACAATGTGGATTTCATTTCTTAATAAAATAATTTGTCAATAAACAGATTAGAATTCTCTGAAATCTACATAGTTACAAAATGTTAATTCTCTATATGATAGACAACGTTATCGGCGGTCACATTACAGGCCGGAAACTCTGATTTTTAATCAATAGGTAGGTTATATAGAAGTTCATTAGACAGGAAACAGTGGCTCCTCATGTTAACAGGCACAAACACTAAACCTTTCTTTTGTTAAACACATTGTTCTCTTTATTGCCCAAACCATGAATAAATACTAAATAGTCCTAATGCTGAAATGCTAAAGGTGAAATAATTTAACTGAAAGTGTTACTTCATAGTAATAGAATAGATTATTAAATACTTTGCAGTTGGTGCCCTTCCTCCACAGCTGAAACATAAAGATGTGCTTCACACAGGTTAGTAGGTGGGAAACGTGAACAAATTGCATTTTTCCACTTCTCCAGAGCACAGTGTGGCTCAGATAATATTCAGCTGGCATTCGGAGACAAAACAAAATAAATAACTCGGTAAGAATAAATAAAAGCCATTCGAAATAATGGTCAACAGATATCATGACCATATTACGCGATATCTGCGGCGTATAAAATAAATTAAAAGCAAATCGCTCACTTTTCTCCACCTTGTGCTGATGATCCAACACCAAAAAAATGGCATGAAAACAATCTTAGACTCAGAGACAACGGGGCAGGCGTGAGACCGACCCATCTGCTCTCTGATTGGTTCATTTTTTCACAGATAAAGTGCTAACTGAGGAGCCTCTGGGGGATTTGTGTACCGTTAGAAAATCCCGAGGAGCCGTTTTGTGGAACAGGAGTCCTTCCTCTAGCTTTGCAAACAAAGGTACAGACCACCATCTCAAGTCGAAAAAGCGACCGAGACAGAAGGCCCTCCAAAAGAGGCCATTTAAATGCTGTTTGTTTAGGTGGAAATTCTCCGAAAAACGCCAAATAACAACAGCGATGGTCAAAATGCATTGCTTCTGAAAGCTAGAAAAAGTCCCTGAGATACATAATCAGCATTATGACTCCCATTGGTGCCCCTTCTCAATTCATATAAATAACCTTAGCAATAATAATAATAATAATAATGGTAAATGTTGATGATAATACCACCAATGTGGGTGAGAAGTTCTTCACCTTCCTGGCCATATGTACAAGTATTCAAAAATCAGTCGGCCAGACTTGTTTTTGAACTGAAATGTTAGCTGCCACTGCGATGGCAATAATGATAATAAAGATTGTTACAATAACTTAATGCTTCGCTAACATCATAAAGGCAGATAATGCAAATATTGATATCCTGGGATGGAGGGTCTCCATTCATAAAATAAAATAAAAAAACAAAATGGCATTCATTTACAATCCCATAGTTAATTTGTACAGTGATCATACAAGAGCCCCCATTAGACTTTTACAGACTCCATCACTGACAGCTTCATGGCGTCTTCTAGCATTTGATTGTCCGTGAAGGTGGCCGGAGGTTCTGGGACAGAATCTGACAAGCCGATCAGAGACTCCAGGAGACAAGTTCCCGGGTCGGCCGCCTGCGGAAGGCTAGGGTAAGTAGGCAACTGGAACTGAAAGAAGTTGTCCATGTGCTCGTACTCCTTCAGGGAGTTGTACAGCGAGCTCGGTCCCAGACAAGGAAAGCCGTCGAAGAACTCCAGGTCCGACTCGGATGACAGGCTCAGGTCCATGTAGCTGGCGGAGTGATCGATGGATGGTGAGGGCGTGTGAGGGACAGAGCCATTGTGGAACAGAGCGATACCTTGATTTGCATTCTCGTCTAAGAGCTCAGACATGGCCGTGCGGCTGTTGTCCGTCTGTGACGTGCCGAGCTTGTCGTCCGCCGCGCTGAAGATGCCGTAGCCCATCGCCTCGCTCTTTTTCTGCTGGTAGTCGCAGTTGTTGTTACACTCCCTGACAGAACAGTCCTCATTGTCCGCGTCACTAAAGCTTAGGATTCTCGTAAGTCCATTTTCGTCGACGTCTAGAGGCGACTGCTCGCTCTGAGCGTTCCCGGCGGATTCGGAGTCGTAGCTCTGGCCTGAAGAGCTAGATGAATCGGTCATGTCGCTGCTGCAGCTGTTCTCTCCCGCAGCCACTAGCTCCGAGCTGAAGTGAAATGTGGGCGTCTCTGGCGTGGTGCTGCTCTCTGCTGGACGGCTCGGGGAACTGCAGTCTGGCTGATTCTCAGGCGACTCGCTCTCTGGCGTGTGCTCCTCCAAACGCTTCTCAAGCTCCAGTTTCATGATGGTGTGGATGTAGTGGGTCTGAACTCGGCTGGAGTTGAACTCGATGCGGCCCTGCGTGTTTCCACAGCCGTCTTTAGTGCAGCCGCATGGAAAGGACGAGTGGTCCATCTGTAAAGCCAGGAAACATTACATTAATGTATTAAGGAATATATAAATTATATTTGATAACACAAATACATAACGTTATAAACCATTTTAACTTTTATAAAATATACATTTAAAATATTAAGTACATTTTTAAATAGACTATTAAATTAATACAATTTATTTTTGGTGTATTATATGCACTACCATTCAAAAGTTTGGGGTTGGGAAGATTTTGTTATATTTTCAAAAGAAGTCTCTTATGCTCCCAAAGGGCTGCATTTATTTGATCAAAAATACAGTGAAAACAGTAATATTGTGAAATTTTACCCTTTAAAATAACTTTACTATAATAATATATATTAAAATGTCATGTTTCTGTGATGGCTGAATTTTCATCAGCCATTAGTCCAGTCTTCAGTCATGTGATCCTTCAGAAATGATTCTAATATGCAGTTTAGTGCTGCTTTATTTAGTGAAACCCGTGATACAACTTTCTCAGGATTATTTGATGAATAGAAAGTTATAAATAAATAAAAAAACAGCATTTATTTGAAATAGTACACATTTAGAGTGTTACAAAATTTTATTTATTTAATACATTGTGTGTCCTTTCGGGAAAAAGAAAAACGTACTGACCCCACAATTTTAAATGATATTGTATGCAAAGAATTTAGACAATTGGCACATTCTCTCGAATTGGAGCAACAGGAATGATACCTGTAATAACCTTGTGTTCTCAAGGAAGCCTGTCGGGACTCAAGCGCTCACCTGACATTTGATCCCAGCCAAACTACAGCTGCAGCTCTCCGGCTCGCAGAAGCCCTGGCAGTCGCATCCGCAGTCTTCTCTCGATGTACGCAGCTCATGCAGTTGACGCTTCTCCTCTTTATCGATTTTTTTCATGCCGGCGGCTTTGAGGATGGCATGCCTTCTCTTAGATGGGTAAGGATGCAGGAAGGAGCCATCATCCAAATTCACTCCACTGAGGTCGATTTCATCTTCGGGGATGTCATCGACAGTCAACCTTTCAGCCTCTTCGGACACTTGGGTACCATTTTTGGTAAGCTGCCACAGGAAAAAGATATTTACATGATTATGATGATGTTTGGATTTAAATACAGCTTGTTTGACCTCAATGTGTGAAAAAAAAAAGAGCTACCTTTAGCTTAAGAGCTTCCAGTTTCTCCTCCCTCATTCGGTTTTTGAGTTTCTCTCGCCGTAGGTGGCGCTGTGCTATGGCAAACTCGGCTAACGTGTAGCGGCGCTGTGCGCTGTGTCTCTGCACCATGCCAAGGGTGCAACCTCCCCGGCTGGGCACACTGGTGAAGCCCTGGCAGCGAGGGAAGAAGAACACCGTGACCTGGTCAAACTGCACGTTGCCTCGCCGTGTGCGCTTGGCTTTCTTCAGGATAGATGTGGCTGGAAAAAAGAAGGACAGAAAGAAAGAGAGGATATATATATATATATATAAGACGTTCCAGCTTGTGGTGGACTAGAAAAGAAAACATTAAGTGGAAAACAGCGGGTGAAACATTCACAGGAATTTATGCTTGGAATTCCTTAAATGAAAATTAAGAGCACATGTCTGAGAGAGTGGTGGAAAAAAGAAAGTTCTGTTCCTAGTGTCTCATTGGGGAGTATTTGAGTAGGAAGTGTGCCAAGCCTAATGGGAAGACTTGGAGTCTCTTGTGTAAACATCAAGATCACATTAACATTATTGTTGCGAGTGCACTACATCGCCACTAGATGGCAGTCCACACATAGCAAATCAGCATATTGTAAATGCCAGAGCTACATCATACTACACTATACAAAAAAATTTGATGTATATATATTTTTCACCAATCAACATCAGAACAGATGTGCTAATAGTTCAGCTAATAGTTTTCGATCAAATCCAGTCACATGCAAAGAAAGACAACTGTGTCTGACAAACAATCCACCCAGGAATTTCCCTTTGGCGCTGAAATGTGCAGGAGGAGCAAAGCGTCCAAAATCACAACCCAGCGGCTGGATAATCTGGAGGTTTGAGGTTTCTGGAAGTGGAGAGGGCACTCAAGACACTTGCTTTTTAATAAAATACACTCCATCTTTATATAAGACAGGCCATCTGTCCACACTTTCCTTGCTGATTATTCCTACAACCAGTTGAAAATCAGTCAATGTCAGTGGTCGAGGCATTTCAAAGGGAAGAATTTCTTCTTGAAACAAGAACACCATATTTTTTTAATTGTAAATTCCATATCCTTTGCACAAGAATATTTAATGTTGAATTGTTAAACTCTGAGAGAGAAGCTCATTTTCCCTCGGGGCCAAAAGCTGACTGATTGTTATCTGAAGGGAATGGAGGGGATGGATCTCACTGTCCCCACAGCTGGTTTATATTAGACTTGCAGTGGTGGGAACTCAAACTCACACAAGCCTATCTAGAAGCCTGTGCAAATATGTTTTGCTCATCTGACAAAAAAAAGATCTGATGGACAAGTCTAAAAGTACAGTGTGGTCTCACTTGAACCTGATAGGCAGCAGCACCTCAGAAACACAATGACATGTTTAAAGAACAGAGCAGCTGTATGCATTATCCAATTGATATTGGTGATATTATGAATTAGAGTAAACAAGCTCTCAGTTATGCAAGGAGTCAGATTCTGGAGACTAATCTCCAGATCTAATATGCTGAAATTGATAATATATGGATGTTAGTCAGGGTAGACAGCATGTTTTATTTTAAGTGAATGAAAAGTAGGCGGTGAGGGATAGAGTCAAACAGAATGTTCAGTGGTTTGTACTGTTAAGTGTGTTGGTGCCAATCATTATGCAACTGAAAACACATCCAAAAAAAACATGGGTTGTGAATATATTAGTCATGCACAAGCTACTGAACAGACTGTACACTACTGTTCAAAAGTTTAGGGTCAGCGAGATTTTTTTTCTGTTCTTCTCAACTATCTATTCATCAAAGAATCCTGAAAAAATATATCACACCAAAACTGCTTTGAGCATTGATGATAAAAAAAAAAAAATCTGTTTAAAAGCACCAATTCAACATATTAGAATGATTTCTGAAGGATGTGACACAGAGTAACGATGCTGAAAATTCAGCTTTTCCATCACAGGAATAAATTACATTTGAAAATATATTCAAAAATAAGAATAATTTGAATTTTAACAATATTTCATATTATTACAGTTTTTACTGTATTTTTACCAAATAATTGCAGCCTTGCCGTTTTGTACAAAACAAAAATCTTGCTGTCCATTTGAAAGCTATTATATGTCTGCCGCTCGTGGCTTAGTTTCAATTCACATTAAATTAAATATGCCGTCTAACCTGACTGAGCTCTATTCTCTGACTTTGTTTCATAAACACAAGCAGACAGCCATATCGTTTCCCTTCCTCTTCTCTTCATGCCTGTCTTCCTGCTCCGTGCCCCTTCGGTCTTTCTCAGCACCTGTTCTGGGTTCGTGCCCGGTGCTCAGACAAAGCTCTGCGTTCATTCTGCCTCCGTCACATGGCACACTCTCTGGCTTCCTGCCCAGCCATCCTGGGAAACTCACAACTGTTTGCTTTCCCTTCCCTGACTCACCCCACAAACCTGGATGAATGGCCTGCAGGAGGTGACCTGGTGAATGTGGCATGCATCAAAACTAATTAGCTGCATCCATGCAATTAATCCTGTCTCTCAATAACACCTTATCAGGTAGGACACAGAATGGCTGAGATAAGCCCTGCAGACCTTATGCATGAATAAATAGCCATGGAAATGGGAGTTTGACCATCCACCCTAATCAGAGAATAAATGATTCGATCAAGGGGAAACTCACTGTTTAAGGACGTTGCAGGGGAGCTGGGGTTGCTGGGGGTTGAATCCAGGGTGTCGGAGTAGCAGCTCTCCCCATCCGAGTCCCATTCGGAGTAGGCGGAGGAGGAGAGAGAGGAAGGGGAGGAGGAAGAGTAGCATGGGTCCTCCTCCACCTCCTCGTACTTCCTCTTGAGAACCCCGCTCATGGCGCTAGCGTTTGGTGATCTGTGGGAAACAAGCAAAGACAGAAAAGCATTATAGGAGGGATGTGTCTACACTAATTTGAAAATGGTGTTTTCATTTCAAAATTAACTCCATTCACACTAGCATATTCCAAAAGATTCCAAGTTTCGCCTAATAAAAGCTCACTAAGATGATACCAAGAGACCGGACATAATTAAGTTCTCACACTATTCTTATGGCACGATCATTTTATTAGCAAAATATCTCACATTTTACTGGTGCGTCCATGTCACACTCAATCGCCATTTCATGTTTGGTCTAAAAATCAATTGCCCTCATGTTTTGCCGCAGAACAGCAATTGCAAAAAAAAAATTCTCTCTTCTTTGCAAGAATGTAAAATGAAGATTGTACAAATTAGCATTTATCTTTAGTAACACTGTGAAAGTGAAAATCACATAGCAGGACATACCGGTAAGGTGTGTCACGTGACTAAACGTGTCATCGTTTACAAATACTTACATTTTCACAGTCCACACTACAATGCAAGGAATCTCAGTGTGAATAGAAGGCCAAAACGCAGAGAAAAGATGCAATTTCAAGAGTATCTGGATTAGTGTAGACGTAACCAAAGGGGCAAAATTTAAAGTTGCAATTTCAAGCAATCTGGCTTTGACCAACAGCTAATTTGTTTTGCTATTAATTGTATCGATATCGCAAGAAGTGCTTAGATGTTATCAGCCAGTGTAGCGTTCTTATTGTCCTAATAGCAGTTAAATGTCCAGTGAGGATTTTAAATTCAGGCTATGAGCATTGCACTCCAAACAAGCAGCTGACGGCGCTTTATGCTGCCTCTGAGCGGCCAGGAAAACAGGAAGTAATCAATCACGTCCCTCCAGTGCGAGTCAACAATTACCAGACCCTTCACCCACTTCCAAATACAATCGCATAGACAAATACATTGATTAGGACGGGGGTTGATTACGTAGCCACATTAGTGAGGAGGGTAAATTTCGGTTACCCCACTCAAAAAGCACACATCACTGAGCCAGTAGCGGCAATTACACTTTACACAGCTGCTAAATGCATTTTATGAGACTCCGTAGTAAATGTGTGTACAGCTTGGCACAGTAAACGTGTTTATGTAAGACTAGGCTGCATTTGTCGCTGCTCCCGTGGAGAGGTTGCTTATTGGGCAATAAAAGCAATCAATCCTTTGGCAGGAAGAGTCTAGCCGGTGCCCATCAGCTTTTAAGGGTCAGAGCCGGTGCAGTGCAGCGCCGTTTACACAAAACCATAATTTGATACTGGCGGCTGTGGACTCGTTTGTTTCTCCGCCCTGAGATAAACCTCGGTCAGCCAGTTCACCTCAGGCTCGGCCTCTCGCTGCACTCCACAGCTCAGACACATTCGTGCTGAAACAGGCAGAATGGAAGGAAGGAAGTGGGGAAGGAAGGAAAAGGTTTGATTTAGCGTTTGCTTTTACTGCTGCTTGAGCTAAGCGGGGGAAAAAAAAAAAAAAAAAAAATCACCTTAAGTCAGTTCTGGAGTTATATCCTATGATAACTGCACTAAAACACGGCCATTTTTCCCTAGAAGTGATGAGCAGTAAATAAGTGTTTCATAATAAGGCTTGTTCCCAGCAAGACAGCAACTTCAGAGAAAAAAGTGACAGACGGTCGTGACTGGCAGATTATACAGCTCATGATGTTGGTCTATGGTGTGTCATCGAGGCAACTGACACTGATTCATCCCTGCCATACAGTGTGACTAACACAATATGAGTCAATAGTAGTCTGCTATTTGTCTAATAAACCCTCGGAAAATAATTTTACTAAAGTGTACAAATACTTTTTGGTTTGAGTTCAAATTGAGCACTTTAAGTGGTAGCAGTCAACGATGCATTTGTGTAACAATACATTGACTAATGTTGTTTCATTTGGTTAATTGTCCCTCATGATGCACAATATAACCAACATTAGATATTTTCTAATTATAATGTTAGATATTATATGATGGACTTTTGGACTTTTTAACAATATGTAATTGACAGTTGTTGTGCATGCTAATTTCCACTTTTTTTACATTTAGATTACCTTTGCCATCATCTAACTCTCATTTTAAGTTATTCTTTAATAACACTAATTTAACGCAGATACCGGTAAATCTTTAGCAAATTGCAAAATGTATTTTTTTACACGTTATAATGATGTGAAGCCTAAATTAATTCAATTGTATTTTTAAATTGATTTTAGTTTTAAGTGTTTCATTTTTTATTTATATGAAGCACAGAATAGTGTAGAATTTTAAATGATTTATCGATATTGGTGCGTCCCTATTCTTCAGACAAGATTGTGTAGACTTCCATTTCCCACAGGTTGCTCTGTTTACAAGCTGAACTTCTCTCTCTCTCTGTGCATCATGTGCGCTTCACACATTAGTGCTGCCGTCGTGAATGTGCCAGACATCGGGGGTGAGTCTGTGCCGTCTGCACATTCAGCCGCGTCTCCTCGGCTGCCAAATGTCGCTGCCAGGAAGCACAAGGTGAGTCTTATCTGCGTCTGAACCGTACAATATCTTCCATGAGTCAAACTTATCTGCTCGTGCAACACCGGCTGAAAGCAAACAATGCTTGAACCTTGACTAAAGGAACTCTACAAGCCAAACAGTTGGAAAGTTATGCAATAGTTTGTGGCACGTGTTAATACTCGGACAAGGGTTTTAAATGGACAAATGACACCGCAAACAGCTGACTTGTCTGAAAACGGTAGTACAGGCTAAGGACATAATCTATTTTTATTACAAACGGTATGTGTCCAGATCTGTCCTCATTTGCATGTAAACAGAGCCAGCACATGCAGGGAGCGTGAAACCTTACATGCTACGTCTTGATTTGAAACCAGCACAAACCTTGGCAGGAAAGTCTTTTAGTTATAATCGCAGAGAACTTGACACTTGACTCTCACCACTCAAGTGGAGAAGGCTGCAAAACAACGAAGAATTCATCCTCATCTGCTAATTTGACTAGTAAATTGGCTCTAGATGCAATCCACTCACGCTTAGTTTGTACAAGAAACCACCTGAACACGGTATCTGGTGCTCACCACACCCTCGTTCTTATCAGAGTCTCAGACACGTTTCCCTTCACATTCAACCATCATCACAACTCTTCTACTCATTTGCCAGAGAAAAAGAGAGAATTCCCTGAGGACGGCATGAATGCCTACCAAGCAGAGGAGTTTTAATGAAGGACAGTGAGGAGAGGGGGAGGACGGCACAGGAGAGATGGAGAAAGAGGGGGAGAGAGTGCAAAACCTGGGTGTTAGAAGTGGGTCATTGTCTCTTGACTGCAGACTACCTGACACATTGATTTGTTAATCTTGCTTAACGGGCAGAAACAATGACGACGAGCTAATCCCAGGAACAAGAGAGGAGGGGATGTGGGGGGCTCAGCTGTAGGTCAATCTGGAGCTTGTCCTGTTGCACTCCAACATCAGCGGAGACTAGAAATACGAGCAAGAATTTCGCAAATAAAAAAAACGAGAAGTCAAAACGCACCATCCACCCATAAATCCGCCACAGAGCAGGTCTGGATTTCACATCCAAGCAAAAGCTGTCACCGGCGCCGAGGTATCCCAGACTTCCAGAGCAGGTGAGACGTTCGCACTGGAGCATAAATTATGCAGGACTGCCATTCCAATAAAGGCAGTGCACTGATGAGGAATTCTCAATGCTGTTGTCACCAAGGACGGCGGATATAAATCTCGCACAGAAAGCGAGAATGGCCACAAAAGCAGCAGATTGCTGAAACTGAATCTTTATCTGCTGTCGGCGGGCTCACTGCAGTTTAACGTACAGCATGAGTTAAACAAAAAAAAGCTTCATTCAAAATCTTATTTAACTCACCACACCGCCCTGCTTCCAAAAAAAACTTAAAAACAGCCAACACTATGAAGCAGCCTGTCTGAACTGCAAACAGTGGAACCCCATCCTCATCTTACGCAAGAGAGTTGACCGGTGACCGCCCCTGCAGCTCACAGCTTCCATCCAGATAATGTAATGAGCAGCATGTACCTCATCTAAACTATCTAAAAATATACAAAAGTGTGGCTATAAAATCTGGCTGCTAAAGATGGTGTAAAATCACTTGCAAGATAACTGGAATCAAAAACAGATTCCACAATTTCGCCAGAATAAAAGAAAACGCTCCCCCTGCTGGCCAGCTCTGAAGAACTGCAGTCAGGGGCAGGAGGGAGCCGTGTGCTGCTGTCCCGATCACTAGATGTTCAACTACGCCAGAGACATTCTGTTCCTGAGCTTCAACCCATGCAGAGTACACAGTCATCCCAAATAGGAGTGTGCACCGATGTGGGAGGAGGGTAGCGGGCGAGAACTTTAAACATATAAATAATGCAATGTCTCCAGCCCACAGGAATTCTCATCTGGCACGGCGACACATTCTATCTATCCCAGATGTGTCTATGTAGTCCAGACCACTATTGCCCAAGAGGAATCACCTCACAGACAAAAACATCTATAAAAACACCTGATGGGGCATAACGGGTGATCAAAGATTATGTTATTATGGTGGAGATGAAGATTTGTTTAAGCATAGCTGTATGGACTCACACTATTTCCAAATTTGAAATATGCAGAGAAAACAAGATTTATAACACACCACATATTGTGCTGCAGATTACAAGTTTACTTTACTGATATCCAAAGTGATATTTAGTATCTAAATGGACAATAATTCTGGTTTCCGGGTGGTTTTCAAACTGGGGCCCGTGAAAAGTTTAGTGGAAAAAAATTACGTAAAAATAAGTGTTTGAAAAAGGAAACTAAACAAATAAATTTGATTAAAAATTATTCAAATAAATAAAAGATTTAAATACATCTACAGTTTAGTTCAAAGAAAAAATCTAATGTAAGATTTTTTTTTTTTTTTTAAATCCTAATTTATATTTAAACTACTTTTTCACAGTCTTTAGACAAGGAAACATATAGCTGCCTTTTCAATTTTAGAATGGGTTTCCTCACATGAGTATGTTCGTGTCATCTAAAACACTGAAAATCCCTGACTTAGATTAAGAGGAATAACAAAATAAGACCCTCTGAAAGTCATTTAACAGTTCTGAGCGAATCGTTCCTCACGTTTAAAGTCAACGAGTGGAAAATATGACCGCTCAGGAAATTGCCAAAACTGAAAGGAGATATTTCCATTGAACAGGGAACAATTTGCATCAATATCCGAAATGCAAACTTCCAGCAGAGTGTGCAAAGTGTAGCTTCCCTGAGAAGTCATCAGCATGAATAACTTAATAGTGGCTAAACAAATATCAGCCATCTTTACCAGTCTCTTAAGACTCTCAAGGGAGAGCATGCGTGTCTAGGGTGGAGGAGCTCAGGGGTCAGCGGCTCATGTCTGGGGCGCACACTGGTACCTCACAAGCTGGGAGGAATGCTTGAGAGTGACAAAACAGATGGGATCCCTCTGCTTCTCTGTTTTTGAGACATCAGGACCTCCACCTCCCCCAATACCAGTAGTGCACAAAAGCCACACACTGAACTAGCCCAAATAGGAACACCCAGTCTATGGCTGGGAGCTTAATAAAAAAGATGACATGTTGTGATATACATATGTAATGATGCCTACATCATATTGGCTTAAAAAAAAAGTATGTCTGGTTTAAATGGGACATGTAAAGACTCATATGAAAACAAGGAAGGAAACTACCCAGACAAGGGCTGATTTCACAGACTATGGTACACGTGCAAGTTCGCATCTCATCAACCCAGAAGTAGCCTACATATAAATAATGCTCATCTTTTATGGGTCCTATTTGATAAGTTTAGCGTGCACTCCAATTCAAAACAACACTGTTGTTTCATAGAAAACAACTCACGTGAACAGTGGACCACCTTGAGTGACAAACAAGACATAAAACACAATATAAAAAACGTACTTGGTTAAATTAAGGAATAAACGTGAGCATGTAGGTGAGATATAACAAAACAACGACTGCGTATTAAGTGTAACCTCCACAAACAAAGTCGCGCAAAAGACCGCGACTTGCTCAACATAATAGCAGGCGCAACATAAACAGCCTCAAACTTACGAAACAGGCACAAAAACACAAAGAAGATAATAACAAGAATACAATAACAAGTAGGCCTAATAACAATATACCGAGACACTTGAAGTAAAGTTTACATACAAGCTCACGTGAATGCAATAACGTCCCTTTTCAAACATTCAACCTGCTTACAGACAGGGACTGTGAATAGGCTCTTTCACAAAAGAATCCAATGAATATGCAAATAACAAACTATGTAACAAGTTAGCAACTAACAAACCCGTGTGAAATGAGAACATTAATTCCCGTCAGTTATTCCAATCACGCCGTGCACAACGTGTCAGTGATTGTTGCCTCTTCTTTCGTGATTGACTGATGTCAATCACAGCAATCAGCGAATTACTGAAAAGCGTCTGGGACTTTTTGAGCTTCTGTCATATGCTATACAATATAAAGAAACATCGAATAATCAATTATTTAAGTAAAGCCAGGGGACAGATTTATTGCTTTTAACAGTGACAGAATAGCTATGTGTAAAATTATTATTTACAATTGTGTATATGGATTTTTGCTAAAAGTGATAACAACAAATATTAGCCTACATATATTTACATTGGTCAACAAACTGAAGTTTGGATCGGATCAAGTAAGGTCTCCCTCAGACCTGCATTCAGCCTCGCATGCACCCCGGTGACGTCACGGAGGGCTGGAAGAGCATATGAGGCTGAGCGCAGATCTGATTCTGCAGGCACACTATTAAAATGATGCGGTGTGGCACCTTAAGGAGTCGCTCGCGCTTCAGAAGACACACCAGCACTACAAACGTGAACGGGGAATGCACTCAACACATGAACACAGATCCAAACCAGCAATTACGGCTTATCGGATACACACACAC